AAAGGGAAAGAGAAAGAAATAGAAAAAGAAAAAGAGAGAAAGAGAGAGAAAAGAAAGAAAGAGAGAGAGAAGGAAAGAAAGGAAGAAAGAAAGAAAGAAAGAAAGAAAGAAAGAAAGAAAGAAAGAAAGAAAGAAAGAAAGAAAGAAAAAGAATTAGAGGGACATGGACAAGGCTAAACCTTCTCAGTGTTAGTAGCTAGAGGCTGAGGTCATAGATGAAGACTAGGAAGGAAGACTAGGTCCCTAGGTCTATACCAAGTGCCATATATATATGAATATGTATATATATATTCATTCATTCATAGATGACATTTTCCAGCATAATCTCTATCCAAATCATTCTGTCCTATTCTGAGTGCTTGTATCAAAACATTTATGTACCTAAAATTTTCATCTAGAAAATATCATTCTATAAATAGTGAAGAATATTAGCCTCCCCCCATATTGTTCATCCTTTTCTATGTGGGCGACACTGGGCCCCCTAAGATGTTTTCATCCTGTCCCTTCAGAAAAAGAGGTAGGTAGCCGCTCAAGATACAAGAGGGTGGTTAGTTTACTGTGGTGCCCCCTAGTGCCAGGTGTGATTAGACACAACTGTATTTGCTAACAAGTACAGCGGCCACATGAAAGGAGCAAAACTTGGAGAAGCAACAGTTTTGGTAACTGTTCCTGTATTTTCTTTGGCACAGAATGGAATGAAGTATGTCCCCTTAGCATGATTCACATCTCTGCTATCCACCCCCGCCTAGATTTTTCAATTTCATCTTATGCTACTTTTCCCCATGAACGCTGAACTTCAGCCATTCTGAACCCCTTGCTATTCCTCCCCAGAGGGCCTTCTCCTTCCTCCCTTTCCATCCTCATCTCTATTGATTGTACAAAGAATTTCCACTCTTCCTTCCAGTGCCAGCTGAGGCATTACCTTCTCCCCTGGGTTTGTCTAACTCCACAGAAAACTTAGGCAGTCCCTGCCCCGTCTTCTACTCTTCCCATTGTCCTCAAGCATGTCTCCACCTGTCTGTTGTCCTTTGGCCCCACTTTGTATCTTGACTATGGGTTTAAAGAGTTCAAACACCTTCTCCAATGCAATTTGTGTGTCTTAAACCTCAGACAATATCCTATACAAGTAGACATTCAGTGGAATGAATTCAGGTAAGGATCCTTTCATTGATAATACTAGGAATACCCCTAACACACGAGTCAAGAATTTCTGGTTAATTAACTAGGTAGATGATCATGAGCAATTTACCTATCTTCTCTGGGTTTCTGTTTTCTAATCTGTAAATAGACTATTTCTAATACCTGCTCAAAAATCTAATGATTGTACCTTTTCATTAACACCTTCCTTAAGAGCCTCAAAATACTCTATGATGAATCAGATCAACACTTCAGGTGTTTCTTTTTAATTCTCAAAGAGGTGCTTAGGGAAAAGAAACTCCATTTGCATTCAAAATTATTTTATTTGCATGTATGTCATAAAGAAAGAATTTCTAAGAAAAAGTTAGGTTACATTCAGACATTTAAATTGAGCTAATCTGAGGCAAAGTTTTTAAAGCAAATTCCTCTTTCTCTTTTTCAATGATACAAAGAAAGGTAGAAATTCTAGCCTGAAATTTCATCCATGAATTGTTTACTCTAATTCTGACTCTTACTGACACAGAACTGGCTGACTTAACTACTTCCACTTCTGTTTTTCCCAGCAGAAACGAATAATAAGAATGTAAATCTTTGACAGTGGAATTTGCTAAAGAATTATCGCTAAAAGATCTTACACCTAAAGAGGACCATGATGAAGGTGAGAGAGAGAGAGAGAGAGAGATGAGATGAGATAGAGATATATGGAGAGGGAAGGAAGGAGGGAAGAAGAAGGGAAGGGAAGGGGAGGGGAGGGAAGGGAAGGGAAGGGGGGAAGAAGCTTGGAAGAAGCACTCTTCAACTTCTCCAGACACACAAATATAATTTACAAAAGCTCCTCACTTTATAGGCCAGTTTTTTTTCTGCCATGGTTGCCCAGCTAAAGTTCTTAGTAAGACTGGAAGCCTGACATTTCCAACAGCAGCCCCAACAGAGGGTCCAGTTTGGAATGGTTTCCATAAGAGAAACATGCAATTCTATACAAGTGTCTTGGATATTCTCCTAGAGCATTCATTTCTTTCCCCTTTCAAAACAATGTGTTTTGATAACTCAGAATAGGTTGTTTAGATAAGGACAGAGAATATAAATTGATTATAGAAAAGTATATATCTACAAATTTGGTTTCCCCCAGACCCTTCTTAAGAGCCAAGAAATCTATAAGTGTAGACACAAGCATCCATTAACTCACATTTTATATTTCTCAAGTGTTTATACTTCTATGAATATGTAAATAACATATTCATAGAATTTTGAGCTGGAAAAGATCTCAGGAATAATCTAGTCTGATTGCCTCATGTTATAGATGAGAAAATAGAAAATCAAGGCCCCAAAAGGAAAATGAATTACATGAGGAGCAAATAAGAGATTTTGTACTGTCATCCCAAAAACAAAAACTTCTGTTTTCCATGTATGTATACAAAATTTAACCCAGCATTGAGAAAACAGAAGTTACACTTAGTTGGAGGGGGAAACTGACTGCCAAGTAGAGTTTAGAAACTAAATCTGTATTTTCAAAGTCATTCGTACAGGCAATTCTTTTCTAAGGGTTAAAAAATTAAATTTAAGAAATAAGAGGAAAAGCATGGTTATTTTCCAAATACCTTCCTCCTACAAGAGAAGAGATCAAGTGTAGCTGGTTGAACAGCGACCATTTCAGCTCTTCCCACCTCAGCATACATCACTGAAGTAAATGACTCGCAGCAGTGGAGGTTTAATTGTATCACTGCTACTACCTACCCGTCCTTCAATCAAAATTCCAAACTTAATGTTTTAAATGCTGTCTCTCTCTCTCTCTCTCTCTCTCTCTCTCTCTCTCATTCATGCACACATACACACAAACACACACACACTCACACTCACACGCTGCTGCCACCAACACTATTCCACCATGTTCCAGGTAAAACACACACTAACCACCTAAGTCCTCCTCATAATAAAGTGTATGAGAATAAATTTAGGATCCTGTTGTGCTGCCTGGGTCTTATAACAGTATCAAAAATTACATTAGCTAAATAGCCTAGCTGGAAATAAGAAAAAATTTAAAGTTAACGTCAAGTGAAGAATTTCAAATATCTGAGCCCCTCCCCCAATTTTTGTACCCAGCGTATACAGGAGCCTGTTTCTTGAGCAAATAGTTCAAACATACCTTATATGTTTTTGCTTCCACTTCTGCAGTAAAACTGCAGAAAGCTAATTCTCTCCCAGAGATCAGCTCATCGTGAGTTCTAATGTTCTGGAAACCAGCCTTCAGCTTTGCTTCCCTGCTCTGCTGCAGAGCTGCTGGATAACTCGCAGAAAGGAGCCTGCTTATTCTCACATCACCTGGGTATTGCTGGTCCAAGGTGGCTCCAGATGCCAGCAGGCTCTACATCTGCATTTCACCTTTTGCTCTCCTGTCCAGAGCCCTTGTGCAATTGGCTAGCCTTGTCTGGGACCTTGTGCCCTGTCTTTAACATCCCACAGAGTAAGGAAACACAGCACTGTGGTCATTTGAAATGCACTCTCAGAGCTCACAAACCTGGTGAATTCACTGAGCTGTTCTATTTTTGGTTGCTCCGTTTGCTTTCTTCTCAGAAAAGCCTTATTCCAGTCTGTATCTTGGGCATCCTGCCATGGAGACATTACTCTTCCCTTACACATTCTCCCCAAAGCACCTATTTTAATTCCACCCAAATGGTTCTGCACAAAGTAAATGTTCATGATGGTGAGGAAAGGACAGGTGTGTTGCTGTCCTAAGTGGTCTGCAGGCTTGAGCACCACACCAACTACACGTCTGGAATTTGGGGACATGAGTACTTGCTGTGGTTCACTGATCATGACCACACACACTCCCACCAGCATATGTGCAGAAAACCCCCACTTCCTGTAGGCAAAGACAAGCCCAGGCATTTACTAGGACTCTTTATCTTATCCTAGTTTGATTTGAAGTAGCCAGTCTGACATGGCCATCAAAAATCAAAGCCTCTCTTATCTGACACTCACCAGGGAAGGACATTTCTAACCCAAAGCAGCCAGGCAGGGGAACAAGAATTATTAGAGCAGCCCCCCAAAAGGAACCTGGAGACACTGTAGATTTATTTTCTTTTCAGTGGCACTGCCACAGTAAAGAACATTCTTAAAGACCTAGTTATATTTGCATAGCTGGATCAGTAAATAAATTTTTAAAATGTAAAAGCATGGGAGCATGGGATGAAAATAAAAAGATGCAAAATGGAAAGACTATCTTAAGTGTAGAAAACACTAGAAATATGATCACTCACTACATCACACAGTGGAAATATACAAAGAGATGTCTTTACCTTGTACAGATAGACAGTGAGAAAAACCTGATTAAATTACTGGATTGAATGTGTGGGCATGTAGGCGCACACACACACACACACACACAACACACACACACATTACTGCCCTTAAAGTGCAAGGTTAGCTATTTAGAAGAGCTTAATATTGATACCTTTAACATTTTTAAAAGCAAACCTCCATAAGCATCTGTGGAGTTGATGAGTATGATAGAAAAGTAGAACTGTTTTCTTTCTTATTTCCTGTTTAGATCAAGCCTGTATAGCAGTGTTTCTAAACTTCCAAGTGACAGCTCATCGAGAACACTGGGATTATTTCATTGCAAAGAAAGAGAAAAATTCTAGAAGCAGCTGCCTCTGCCCTGTCTCTCCTCTGCCTTAGAACAACCACCGCTAAAAAGGGAAGGAAAAGAGAGACGGAGGGTGTTTGTCCACACTTCACAATCTCTTGGGGTGGTGGAGGAAACTCAACAATTTTGGCATCAGATTATTTCCAAGTGACTGCAGCTGTTGCAGTTGCCATCAGCGTGAGCTGGAGGGAGAAAAGCACTCAGAGATGCATCTTACCTGAGGAGCAGAGACACGCAGGCAGATGTATATGAGGCACAGGAGCAGCCCCAGCCCCTGAATCACAGAGACCACCAGCAAAAGCTTGTTCCACTGGGGTCTTGGCCTGGGTACGCTTCCCACATTCTCTTCCAGGGGTTGAACCCCTTCCATTTTCATAATCTGGATGCAAGGAAGATGAAGCTGTGGCAAAGGGGAACTTGGGGAAAGCCTGATGAGGAGGTGATGAAGGCAAAGCAAAGCCTTTCAATCAGAAGACAAAGGTCCCAGGACCTGAGACAAAAGGCGATTGAAAGAGCAGAGAGGACTCTCTCAGTTTTAACTCTGCAACTTCTACAGGCAGGCGGGGAACTTCTTTGTGACTAATCTGAATTTCCCCTTTACTTTCTTTCTTTTTTTTTTTCCCTCTGGGCTAACAGGGAGTTGTTTTTGTGGCATTCCAGTTCTGATTTGAGTGACTGTGAAATGACAGTCATACAAGTGTGCTATTTTCTTAATTTCTCATTGCACCAGTAACCAGTTTGTGGGTCACTTGATAAAAATAAAGATCATCATCTGTTGAAGTAGGAGCTCACATATCCCCTCCTCAAGATATTTTGCATCATATAAGAGATTTAAGGAAAATGCTCTCCCAAAGCCCTTGTCTATATTATGTAACTCAGTCCTGAGCTCATTTTACAGGTTTAGAAATAAATCACACACAGACCATTCTTGAAATGAAAAAGACAAAAGAAGAAAAAAAGATGATGCATTATGTGGAAATAAAGAGAGAGTAATCCTCTAGTTATATAGTCTATTACATTAAAATAAATAAAGTAGTATTCATGGAGCATCCACTATGTGACAGACACAGTATTAGACAAAATTATGATCTTTTTATTATTTAATCCTTTTAGGAAAATTCAGTAAACATTTATATAATTAATTTCCTGTGCAGAAGAAAATTCTTGTTCTTCTTCCAGCCACTTTATATTTTCCCCATACCAAATTTTTGCATGGATTCAAATAACCCTTGAAAATTGTTCTTTTCTTTGAGATAATGACCAGTCTCAAAATTCAGAAAGTAAAAATATTCTATCTAGAAACTCTATTTTCCTTTCATCACAAAAATAAATAATAAAATAAAATGAATGATAAAATTATAATACCAAGTTCAAACTGGCAATTTTCTTTTCCGATACTGGGGATTGAACCCAGGGCTTTGCGCATTTGAGGCAACTCGGTTTCACCACTGAGCTACACCCCCATACCTTTATATTTTTATCTTGAGATAAGGTCTCATTAAGTTGCCCAGGCTGGGCTCCTGTCTCAGTTTCCTGAGCAGCTGGACTTATAGGCGTAGTCCACTGCACCCAGCCAAATTGCCAAATATTTACTATGCACATGAGTGTTGTACTGGACAACACAGAAATATTGGGCAGGGCCTGTTTAAAACAGAATTATTCCATGGAAAAGTATGTCTCTCTAAGCTCCTCATGGGGCACTTAACAGATATTTAAAGAAATAACAGAAAGAGTAATATTTTAGATTCAGCAATATGAGATGTTCTATATGACTTTGTTTCTGGAAAAATGGGTATGAAGCATATACAAAAGAGAAACAGTTGTAATAAATGGAAAGTAATTTCTTGCAATATTAATCAATTAAAATTAAATTGATACCTTCATTACAATTGTGCATTGCATTTAGAGAACATATTGATCTTCAGAAGTTCAAGTGTTTTTCTGAAAGACATGGTAATTAAGGTAACTATATTGGAGACTTGAAACCAAAACTGGAAATCAAGTTCCATCGAAGCATCTCCATAATAGTTACACCCCCAAGCACAATATGTGCAACATAAGGGTCTGAAGATAAAAATTAAAAGAAAAAGCCCAATTATTACGCAAGGCTTAATAGTCAAAATAAGCAACAGAATCAGTAACTACTCAGCTATTTTCAAAAACTAAAAGAGACAAAAGCAAAAAAGCCTAAAAAGACTAAAAGAAAATAGAGACAAGCAGAAAAGAAGTGGTTAAAGCTATTCATGCTGAAAATCATAGGAAATATTTTATGACTGCTAAAAAGAAGAAAAAGATAAACATCTGAAGGACACAAACTTGTGCTTTGCATAGAATTTCTTTTCTATTAACATCATGACTCCTGCAAAGAAAAATCAACAAATACTGTTTTCATTTATAGACAATAAGAACTGTTCAAAAGAATGAATTTCAATTAAGTGTTGTCCGAAGAAAACGACGTTTAGGCCTCCACACCTGTGGCACACCTTCTGGGGTGAGGGGAGGAGTGCTGGGGATTGACATAGGGCCTTCGCACTGCCCTACATGCCTCCTGGGTCCTTTCATTTATTTTTAATTTTGAAATAGGGTCTCTCTTTCTTTCTTTTTTTGCAGAACTCAGGACCTTGCGCTTGCCAGAGAGGCACAGCACCACTGAGCTACATCCTCGGCCCAAAATAGGGTCTCTTTAAGTAGCTAAATTGCTCAAGTTGAGCTTGAACTTGTAATCCTGCCTAGGCCTCCCAGTGTGCTGGGATTACAGGCATGTGCCACCATGCCCAGCTCAATGCTACCCTTTTTATTTCCCTCCTAGTGCCATATTTTGCCTAGTGTAATTTCTGGGGAAGTGTATGTGATATCAAATTGTTTCTTTTCTATCCACCACATTCTATCAGCTTTTTCACATTTTTTGTAGCTAGAGAATACACACACACACACACACACACACACACACACACACACACACAAATAGGAACTGGACTGGAAGTTCCAACTGGAAGTTCCAAGTGAGATCTTTTTTTTTTGGTACTGGGATAGAACTCAAGTCCTTGCGCTTGCGGGGCAGGCGGCAGAACCACTGAGCTAAATCCCCAGCCCCAGGTGAGATCTTTGATAGACTGTAAGAGCATTTCAAAGTTCATCACTGGGCTGCTCTAGCAGCTGAACACCAGCTGATGAACCCAACAGAGATATCACTGGTGGCATTTCAGTCTCAGCCACCACCATAGCAGATATTATTGATAGCATTTTAAAGCATCTCACAAAAATCAAACACATATGAGGTGTGATTTTAAAAAATACGGCATATTTTTTAAATTTTTGCTATAATAAAAGATATATTGCCATTAACCACCCTCCTAAATACTCCCCCCTTACTTGGAACACACTTATCCCATTGTTCTTACTACTTTCTGAAGCAGTTCTGGAGGTCCACTTGTGTGAGTGTCTTAATTGCATGGTCATCATGGCTGTCTCAGTGTTCTTATTTGATTCAAAACGTTTACCTTTCATGGTCATTTTAACTTTGGGGAAGAACCAGAAGTTGCCTGGTGCCAGATCCAGTGAATCAGGTAGATAAGAGCACACCACAATGTTTTTACAAGCCTGTTTTTCTGGTGGATGGCATTCACTGTATTTTTTATTGTGCCTCACCAAGACACTCATGAAAGAGGACCTCCAGAACTGCTTCAGAAAGTAGCAAGAACGATGGGATAAGTGTGTTTGAACCAAGGAAGATATTTTGAGGGGGAATTAATGTGTCTTCTATTGTAATAACTTTTTTATAAATTTTTGAATAATCACCATATTTTTCAATTTCCTCTCATAAACCAGAACAAAGTAACCTTGGGATAAAATCTTAGGAAGAAAAATAAGTTAATTGACTTTCCATTTATCATCAACCTCCTAAAGGAATAGCCATTTAATGACTAAAATATCGGGGTGGGGGGGTGGGATTTAAACAACTAACAAAATACCTCACCTTCAGAAAGCAGCAAAAACTTTTGGGGTTTTTTTAAGGCTTGGGGGATTTTATTGTTGTTTTGGTTTTTTGGTGTTTGGGGGGTTTTTGTTTGTTTGTTTATTGGTAAGATCTGTACCATATCATCACTTGTCCATTTAACAAGCATAAGGCAGGTGCCTACATCCTGGTGCTAGGGGAAAGGACATACACAGAACATATCCTCAGTTTTCTAGGATAGGAAGGTAAGATGAACACCCACAACCTGGAAAATGCTAAGGCTGAGGTGTCATGGCAAAAGGGGAGGGTCACAGGGCCAGATAGCCTAGAATTGAGGCAGGGACAGCTTCCTTAAGATGAATCAGGTTAATCTTGTAGAAAGCAGAAGGAATCTGGTCACCTGGGGGAGAAGAAGGCAGTGGGGCCGGGTGGGCAATGCTCCCTGGGCCAATCTTTCTTGTGCATTCAGGAAACTGCGTCGGGAGGGAAGAATGGTGGTAAAGGAGAAGGGCTCCCTCAAGAAGCTGTGGCTCAGGACTTTGGGCTGTATCCTGGAAGAGTTGGGGAAATGCAGAAAAGTTAGAAGAAAACATCGTTCCAACGGAATGCCGTGAAAATGACAGAGTAGGACCAAGATGGCGTAGCTGGGAAACATTTCCACGGAGCTCTGTGCAAGCTGAGGGAACAAGTGAGATCCAAAATCTCACCTCTGCGTTCAGTTTGCCAAGCCCTTCATCCTGGCAAGGGAAGCTTCCTCCCGGCCGAAGCCAGAGTTTTATCGTTTCACAAAGCTGTGCTGTGCTTCTCCACCCTGAGAAAAGAACTGCATCCATGCAGATTAAGCCTCCTTTTCTAATTCATAAACCCGGAGAGGGCGCCTTATTCTAATTCATACAAAAACAGCAGTACAGCTAGGGCTGCCCCTGGGCTTGCAATTATTTAAGTGAGAAATAATAAGGTTCTAACCTACAGTGGGGAAATTAATGGGCAGAGACGATATTTGCTATGGCTCTTCATTCATCAAACACTTTGAAGGTGCCTCTAGCCAACCCCTGAGCATATACATATCAAAGCTCTGCTGGGGACAAGTGATAGACTGCTGGAAAAAGTGACAGAAACAAACACATTTTTAAATGTCAAAAGCCTGCTTCGCCCTCTGCTTTCTTAATGTTCTCTTGATTTTTATGTCACTGTCCTGGTTAATGTTTTTACCACTTGGAAACCTCGGAATCCCAGAATCAGGGTTAACTCTTTTTTGCCTCAATAAGCCAAACTTTGTAGGCCTATTCTTGCCCATACTTCCCTTCTCTTTGCCAATCTTACAAGTCCTTATTGCTCCCCATTGGTCTCCTAAATTAATTTTCTGACATTCTCTCAGCTTCTATTCTCATCAGTCTCCAATCAGACTTCTTACACTCAGTGAGATCATGATCCTGTAGGAGCTTCCCATCACAGGAAAAAGTTGGAATTCTTTAGTTCATCATTTTAGTCACTCCATTATAGGGCCCCAAGTTTCCTCTCCAAACTTACCTCCCTCAATTTTTGATATCCACTCTGACTCAGAAATTCACACCCTTCATCTCTGGCCATCAAAACCCTACTCACTACACACTTCCTCTTGAAGGCTGACTTGTGAGAAAAAGTTAACAAAAACTGAACGAACACTGTTCAGAGGTCATGGAGCTCTGGCTTTGAGTAGAGGGGAGGTGGTATCATGGCTCCCGAAGCCTCGTTGACCATCAGAGTCACTAGGAGAGCTTTTGAGAAATTCACATTCCTAAATCCTTCACTCTAGAAATTCTGATTCAATAGGTTTGGAGAAAGATCTTGTAAAGCCGTATTTCTAAAAGATTCCGTGACAGCCAGATTTGTGAATCACTCCGAATGACCGATGAGAGTCTCGTCATTCTATTTCGATGATGGGAATTTCTATAATTGGCAGCCTTCCCAGGGCAGACAGAAGAGTATATCTGTTTTCACTCCATGTTGAAAGTGTTTCCATGCTCTATTTTGTCTTTTATACTACTTATAACTATTTCAGTATCCCCCTATAATGTTACATGGTCCTGAGATCAGGAGCACTATATTATATTCTCTATAGACAATTTGTCCAATTA